GCATACCTAGAAAGTTGTTCGAACTTCCTCTCATAATCAACCAATGTCATCTTTCCCTGCTTAAGTTGCAGAAACTCTATCTCCTTACGATCTCTCAGGGCTTGTGGAAAGTATTTTCCCATCACCTCCTCTTTGAATCGTGCCCAGGTGAGGTTACGTTGTTGTGCCTCAGTCCTAGTCCGTGAAACGGACTCCCACCAGTGGCCAGATGCATCAACTAGCATGAACTCTGCACATAAAACCTTTTGGGCATCAGTGCAAGAGAGTTGCTTGAAAATTCGTTCCAAACCCCTTATCCATTCCTCGACCGCTAGAGGGCCAGTTATCCCATTAAAGGTAGGGGGCTTGTAACGACGAAACTGTTCCACAATTGAGTTAGTGTTGTTAGTGTTTGCACTAGCAGGGCCAGCCTGTGCTTGTTGTCTACCCAAATCTTGTACCACCCTTAGCAAATCCCTGACGATGGTAGCTTGATTTTGTTGTTGTCTCGACATTTTCTTAACACAATTAAAATTTTAATTTAGAAAAAAAATTGATAAAACACTCAAATATTATTAATAATCTTTGTAATAATAAATTTCCAAATCCTTACATATAGAAAATTTGCTCTTTAAAAAAAAATAATAATAAAATCAGATAAATAATTAAATAATCGAACTTTTTCTAAGCAAATAAATAACACTTATTTCTAATCCCAGTGGATCCTAAAAACCGGCTTTTTATGGAGTCTCGTCATCCAAAGTAATGCATGACTCGGGCTCCGAATCCATAACCCAATCAATGAAATTTTGTGGTTGGACTTCCTGCCCAGGGTCTTCTAGCTCTGGTTCGATCTCCTCCTCTGGGTCCTCCTCTAGGTCTTCCTCTGGCTCTGGCTCTAGCTCTGGTTCGGGTTCGGGTGCTGGTGCTTGTTGTCTGTGATTCCATAAAACTATGATATCTTCACAGTATCCTTTAAAATCAATCTTATCCCAATCTTCTTCCAAATATAAATCATAGTCCATGTCCCTCACGAAATAAGCCACATCTCTCCATTGAGGTCGCATAGTGCTTATAAGGTGATATATCGAAAGGATTGTCCCCTCATTATATCCAAACGACCTTGCTCGCTCCCTCTTAGAAAGGAAATCTTCAACGTGTTCAGCAAAAGTTCGCTCCCATCTCACTTCATAATTTATATAGTTCTCAATGGCCATTTCAGCATGCTGGAGGTACGTTGGGCTATTTCTAGTCATCCTAATCACATGACAAGTATATTTCAATTATGCTTAAATTTTATTAATGGTAACACACTGCCTTTTATGTTCGCATAACTCATTATGTAGATAAAGTATCATACTTCTAACGGTAGTTCATTAAAAGCATACGAGAAAAATAATTCATAAAATGGAAGCAATATGTTTAACATCATGTTTGCATTTTATACTATAACATTTATCTCATTTCGAACATTTTTTGTATCAGATATAAGAATGTATACCTCATGCTCAAAATTAAATTTAAATAAAGCATGTTAAGTAATACCTTTGGTCCGTCAGATGGTAGTTGATTGGTGGATGCTAGGTACCAAGAACCTCGTTAAGATTCTTGTTTAAAAGAATGTTTATCGAACTTTTCATTTCTTGTTAACAGGTTTACAAATATACGAATTAAAAAAAAATGTTGAAGCTCGCACTTTGATTTATATGTATGGGTAATGAAACATTCAAGAGGCAGTTGGGAAATTTTAATACATCATACATTGTAGAATTTTATATATATATATATATATATATATTTTTTTTTTTTTTAATTAAATTTTTTTTTATTAAGGATAAATATGTGAATGGATGCATGACAGTGACTAACCACCACATTTTTTTTTTATATCTAGGATGCTTTGAAATGCTGTTTTTCGCCTCATCAATTTGAGTAATGCGCAATTAAGAGACTTCCAGATAAGGAGTGGGGTCACAGATGGACCGCTTAAATCCCAAGCTCTTCTTAGACAGTTTAGGTCTTTTTGATAAAGCTTTTTAATTTTGCAATTACCCAAGTCAAGGAAGCTCAAACAATAAATCAAGAGTGAAATATCTTGAAATATGATTTTTTTTTTAACATAAAACATTACCCAAAAGTGGAGCTAACAAGAATTTACGTAGTGTAAAACATGGGTAATGACAAAATAATGATTTAACTATAAATTATCGGCATTTTAAAAGTATCAACTTAATAATTAAACCACACAGACATTCAATATCAAACAGAAAAAAAAAATAAATAATTTTTTGTCGTTCATCTCACATGGTAATAGATTATTATAGTCACATGAAGTCCTAGCTGACTGTCATTAGTCCACATTTGAAATGGAAATTGTAACAAAATATGAAATCATGCTTTTAGATTAATATACATGTGCATGCATCACATATTTACAGTGCAACTACTCACAATTTGGACACGTGACATAGTGGGGGAAATTATTTATCACATACTTAAGCTTAAAATACTGAATTAACAAGAATTTACCTTCAGATAAAAATGAATTTACCCTTTTTTTGTTACCAATCACGTAAAACATTTTTTTTATCTGCAGGAAAATAAACCATTGCTCTGATACCACACTGTAACGCCCCAGATTTCATTGACTTAAAATTTGAGGAGTTAACGATATCATTCCATAATCATACATCAAGCAGAAATAAAATTTAAAACTTAAAACCTTAATTTATTGAAACTCAAACACTGAATCAAATAAACATAGTGTCATAAATGGAATTAAAGAGAAACATAAAATGTCTTAACAAATTTATTATGGATTCCTAAAAAAATTTCTTTTACTTGGCAACCTGCGCACCACTCAGCCACCATCCACATTGACCAATCTGACCTGGAATGATAAAATTGAAGGAATGAGTATTACTCAGTAGGATACGTGCGTCCAAACAATATAATAACTTTTAAAACATGAATTTACAACATTCCATACCATCATTCCATCAAGAGCAATCGGTGATCAATCGAATACTCTAACATATTTGAGATGACTCGAAGGAGATC